ACAGTGCCAGTAGCAACTCACAGATGGAGGAAGCAGCCCCATCACGGTCCTCACACACGACTGCACTTTGTCACAGGGGCTTCATAACTGGTACCAATGCAGCCAAACAATGATACACAGCAGAATGATGGCAGGCCTTATGTTTAAAAGCAGGGCAAAACAGCCAGCACAAAAAAGAGTCCTTTGAACAATGCTTCAGACACCCCACCATGCAGAGACATTTACTCTCCTTTGCTACGGGTACAAGAGAAGCAATACTGAGCTGCAGCACCAGTGCTGAGCGAGCTTTTGCATCCCCACAGCTGCACTGTGCTTGTCCATGCTGCAGAGACAAGGTGAGCACAAGGCAGGTGATGACAGAGTAACTAACCTGGTATTTCTAAGCAGAAATACATGACATAACAGTCCAAGAGTTACACAGGAGCTTAGTGGCTACAAAGAAAAATCATGCTGCTATAATAAAAATAGTACAGAAAAAGGAAACTCCCTATGCTTGGTTCCCAGTCTAAGGTTGAAGGAAACCTTCACATCTTCTTTCACAATAACAATACCAAAAAACTACAGTTGTGGTTGTAGTTGCAGAATGTTGTTACTGCCCCTGAAAATGGTATTGTTCCAGAACAAGCCATAGCAGGATAAAATATGACTGGGACAAGGGAATCTGGGTGGAAAGGACTGTTACCTTACCAGGAAGGCAGAGCAGGACAGACAAAGCTGGAAACAAAGACTAACCAGCTATAAGATCACTGCTTGACCAGACAGAAAGCTAAATATTGCTATATGGCTACAGAAAGGTAAAACAGCACAGTGCGAGATGGGGAAAATTAGGATGCACAAAAAGGATGGGAAGACAGTGAGGGAGGCACACACAATGACTGCAGGGAATAATGAGGGCTGCACCTTCCAGAGCAGAGCTCTGAAGATGAGACAGTGACTTGTGCCAAGTACAACAGGACCACAGAGGAGGGAAGTGTTGGAAAGCAATAATGGAACACTGTGACAGGGAGCTATGGCTGAGATGTGCAGAGGTTCTCAGGGAAAGGCATGGGGAGGTGAGGAAGGAGCCCATGCCAACGTGACATGAGGAGAAAAGGAGAGATGCAGCTTCATGGGGTGAGGATGCCCTTGAGGATTCAAATACCAGGTAAATGGAGCAGCATTAGGGAGTAGAAGCCCAAGTCTGACCTCCATGACTCCAAGAAAATACTACAGGGAAAGAGGGTAAGGAAGGAAAGAAGTAAAAAGGGGGCTCTTCTAAGCCTGGATACACTGACAACTGAGCTGGGTAAAGCTCCCTGGGAGGTCTGAACCTGGGCACTGGGAAGAAGGTGGACTAAGCAGGGCTACTGGGGAGGGGAACTAGAAAGGTTCACAGAGGCACCGGGGGCAACTCCAGGAGACCCTGAGGGCAGTTTGTGTGACGCTGGCAGACGCTGAAGGGCATTTAGGGGGCAGCTGTTAACGGGTACCTGAGAAACAGTTCATTATGGGGATCCCTGAGGGGCATCTTGGGGTTCACAACTGCCTGAAAAGCTACTGGGGGTGTTGTCAGGGAGTCTCTGCGGTGTGGACTGGGGGTCGCCAGCAGGACCCGGAGGGATGGTTGGGCTGTCACCGAAAACGACGAGATAAATAAACCTCTCTAACACAGACAGTATTTGTTGCAATTAAAGACTTTCCCAAGAGGGGAAAAGGGGGAAATGGCCGAGTCCCTGAGGGGTGCTTTGGCGGATGTGAGGTGGTCACAGGCAGACCCCTGAGGGGTCGTTGTGAGGGGAGAGGAGAGGGATGTGTGGGGAATGCCGGCAGCTCCCTGAGGGACGGGCTCAGAGCCAGGCCCTCGGGTAAAGCTTCATAGGTCTCTGGCAACTCCCAAAGCAGCGGCTCGGGCTGGCAGCGGCACGGACCGTGCCGGGCAGGAGGGAGAGGCGGCGGCACCGAGCGTAACGCGGAGGCAGCGCCGGCCGCAGCGCCGCCAGGAGCCCGAGGCCTTGCCCGCGGCCCCCTCCCGCCGCACGCACCTTCTGCCGGATCTGCCCGGACGTCGAGACTTTGCGGATGAGCTTCTGCAGGGAGCCGGGCTCCTGCTCCGGCTCGCTGTCCGACGACTCCTCGGGCGCGGCGCCGGCGGCCGGCTCCGGCTGTGTCTGCTCGGCCCCCGCCGCCGCCATGCTGCACGGAGCGGCGGCGCGCCCGGCGCCCCCTACCGGCCCCGTGCGCGCGGCGCCCCCCAGCGGCGGCCGCGTCACATGGCGGCGGCGGCGGCGGAGGGGCGGGAGGGGCAGGGGCGGGGAAGGGCCCGGCCGCTGTAACGGGACGGTCACGGCCACCCTGCCCCTCCGCGGTCCCTGCGAACCGCCCCGATCGCAACGGCCCGGCCGTGGCTCCTTGGAGCCTGGACAAAGGTGTTCAGCGCAGCCCTCCCCGCCGAGGCGAGCCCGACAGTCCGGACCGCCGTCCCCATTCCTTCCCATTCTTCGTGGCTACTGCAGCACAGAATCACAGAATCATTCGGGTTGAAAAAGACCTCTGACATCATCGAGTCCAACCCATAACCGAACACCACCTTGTCAATCAGACCAGAGCACTGAGTGCCACGTCCCGTCGTTCCTTGAACACCTCCACGGACGAGTACTCCACCACCTCCCGGGACAGCCCCTCCCAAAGCTCTCCCCGTGTTGCCAGGATTTATTGAAATGCTGCGGGCACACCCTACCGCCCAGGCTCCACCTGCCGCGCAGCCCCCGCCCCGAAGGAAGCCTCAGGGGCGCTGAGCCCAAGGGCCGGGCCGGCCCCACTCCGTTCGCAGTGGCCTGGTAGCTCCCCCCCGCCTCTCCAACACCCATCAGCTACGGGCAGTGTAGTGTTCCCGCTGGGATCTCACGGAGATGTATGAGGGAAAAGAGGCTGTCACGAAACCCGTCCTGTCACGTATTTGTTCCAAGCTGCCTTCAAACACAGCAGGTCCAGAGATGCCATCGCTCCTAGAGCGCATCGGTCTCCCGGAGCTGGCGAGCTCTCTACAAACAGAGTCCCACCACATCAAAGCCACGGAGTCAGGAAATCGGATCTGCTCTCCCCGAGCGGTAAACAGGAGGAGCAGACCACAGGTCTGACTCGGTAGATCAACGTAACACCAGAAACAGAAGAAAGGGAAGATAAAAGGCAAACAGTTCTAGCTACAGACCTACTTTCTGCTGACAAAAGTCGGCATCTGCGGCTGAAGCGCCAGAGAAAAATCCAGCTAGTCCTGCAGGACAGAGCAAATGACTGGCATAAGCTGAACAAGTAGCGTCTCAAAGTGCTTTCCCAAACCCAGACAAAAGAACAGATTTAATAACCATTTAACAACCAATTTCCTCCCCACTGCACAACAGAGTGTACTGTGATTTTGTCACGCTTAGCTTACAGAAGTCATCACCACAGCTGAATTTGAGAGGAAAATCAGGCAGTGACAGAGGCCCCTCACAAAGTTGACTTATAAGAAACTTTTAAAAAAGGAAAAAAAAATTAATCAGATCTCTGAGTTTAGTGGTCCCATACTTACAGGTATAGTAGCCGGAAACACTGAAGGAAACACCTTTGTCGAGAAAGATACACTTTGAATTAAGACAGGGGGAACCCTGTTTCCCCTCCTCTTAGATCTTTAAAGGATATTCTAAACTCCTGCTCTCCAAGACCAGCATATTCACAACAGCAATTTGTTCAGCCTTACTGTATGTTCTGTGTGTTCTGGAGCCACCAACAGATTAGTAATAGAAATACCAGGGAAAAGCCTTCCCAGACATCCAGGTGCAGATGCCTGACCCTCCCCCAAAGCTGAAATCACACAGAAATTACCCTGATCACAAACACTTGGAACTGGCTGGGTTCCTTTAGCAGCACAGCACCCAGTGCAGAGCAAACACTGTGCTCCTTGCAATTCCAAGCTAAAGTGAGACACCTGTGACTAACAGACAACACTGAGGAACAGGTGTATTAGGGGAGAGCACTGATGGAACCCCGAAGTTAGCTGTGGTCTTAATTAACTGCTTCCAGCGTCTTAATCAAGACCAGTTTAAAGAAGCAAACAGATATAAGTGTGAAGTTCTTAATTCTATTTTCCAGAGTGTAGGGTGGCAAACTTAAGTCTATATTAATAAATGTGGACCCTGCATTCAGACTTTCCAGGAGAATTTAAACCAGGGACACTGAAAAGCAGATTTAAAGAAAAAATGAGAAAAATAAAACGCCAGTTGTTTTACATGCAAAATGTAATTAGCTGATGCAAGTCACTTCAGCAAAAACAGTGAGATTCAGGAAAATATCCAACATTTACATGTATAATGAGAATATCCAGATCAACAAGAGGAAAAGTTTGCAGAATGCAATCTCATTTCTTAGAGCATAAACCAACTGCTGGCAGACAGATATTGGGAAAGGTTCCTCAGGGAAGGCTGTGCCATAATTTCCTCCTTAATTTTCCGGTACCTTCTTTTGAAGCAGTTGCCTACAGGAAACTAGATTAAATACAGGCTCTGTCTGGACTTGTATTACTGTTTGGCATTGTATATAGGGAGCTTTAAGCAATTCATGGACAGTGCACATTTATCTCATCTTTAATAACATGGTTATTAAGCATATTGCTAGAAAGTAACACTGTGTATCAGCATTGTCTATGTTGTAGGAGACAACTTGCGAGATATTTACTGGTACAGAAAATGAATGTAAAAGCCACATGGGGACAGTGCAAGCACTGAAAAAATTCACTGCCTGAATTTGGTAAATCATCAATGCAAAAGCAACCAAAAGGAAATAAAATCAGTTTTGTACAGTCTGCTGAGAAACTTTAATGAATCATCCACGGCTGCAAGCCAGCCTTCCAGGGTAGAATTTGGTTCACTGGCACTTCAAAGTCACAGACTCTGACACTGAGTAAGTCCAGGCAGGCTGCATAAACTCTCTTAAAGCTCTCACTAGTGCTGAAAGCAACCAACCTTTTTATTAGGCAGCCCTGAAAGCAGAAGTCATGACATGACAGACGTCCTGTCCTCCTTTGGTAGCTTAAGTACCAGGTGTTGTGTTTGCCACATTCCTCCAGAGATGAATCTTGTAATAAGCAATAGAGAGTCATGTTGTCATGTCCACTGACCTCAGGGCTGATCCCTGGAAGAACATGCATGAACTGAGAACATGCAGACTACTAGAAAATTAGGTCCTACATTTGTAATTGAAGCCAGACAACACAGCTCCTCTCTAAGTCTGTTCTTTTAATCACTCATCAGTTGAGGGTGAATTCTTGTCCTCTTCATCAGGCGTATTTTTTAGCTGCTGACGACCAAACTCCTCAAATACCAGCTCTGCTTCACTGCAATGGAAGAAATGCAGGTCTTTCAAAATGATGTTACTCTATTTTTGTACCAGTAGACTAGAGACAACACATAGGAAGAAGAAGGGAAGCCCACAGACTGGTAGTGTTTCCTTTGTCTCCAAAGAGATTTGGATCACATTCCCACAGGCACCATCTTCACTGATGCTATTCTAGCTAAAATGAAAAGCAATTGATTGAGCAAGTCAAGGCACAAACTGAGGATGTTTTCATCTGTACCGAATCATGTCCATTCCAGATACATATTTATCAGCTAGCTGAACAGCCTAGAGCCTGCAAGGGGCTTTGTCCAGGAACAAAATGTGGAACATTTCACCCTTATTCCTTCTATACTAAAATAGAGGTGCATGGTCAAACCTATTAAGTTCCTTACACTTCCAGCTATAGGGCACAAACACACCCCTCCCTGGGTGTGTTTGTGCTATTAGGCAAAACATGATCTCTTATTCTATCTTCACATGGTCAGTCACTGCTGTTTAACTCAGAGCAGTCATTTGTTAGGCCACTGTAACTTGCTCACTTTGGATTTTAAGCTGGGGATTTTTGGACAATTTTGAGGAGTTTTTAAAAGAGTCAATGCACAAGTGTAGCTAGAAAGTGAAATACTAAAAGAAACTTACCCATCCTTCCCTGCAGTCATGAGCATGCAGCAAAGGAGGAAAAAAGACACACCGGGTAGTCAGAACAGCAGATGCAAAAACATTTGCAAAATGTTTAATGCAAAAATATATAGACTGACAAGTCGGAGCAGTGACGAGAAGCAGGATTTGCAGCAGTACAAGCAGAATTTCAGAAAGTCTCAAAATGTGCATACATACACCTGATGAGGCAAAACTTGATCTTCCAAATGGAAAAGCATTCCAGCAACGCTGCCCAAGCTATCTGAAGGGCTGAGGAACAAAGAAAGATTTTCCCATCTACACATGCTCGTGGTCACAGCTGTAGGAGACATCTATGCACACACTTGGACTCCAAGCTGACAGTGCTTGCATGACATGATGTCAGCTTTAATTGCTCTGTCACTGTGATTGAAGAAGTCAGCTAATGAAAAGATGATGCTCTTGTTCAATAAATATGAAGGTATTAAAATTAGAGGTCAAAGTACAGAAACACCTCAGGGATCTCTTATCAGATGGGTTAAGGCCTTTGGGGCAGCACTCCTGATTTCATCTTGCCCTAAAAATGGTTTAGAGACCTTTGGCAATTATGTTTCTTTAGTGGGACCTTTGCTAACCACATTATAACAAATCCTGCTTACTAGCAGGATTCCTTGAAAGCTTCTTTCAGCACAGCCTAAAATAAGCAGAAGACTATTTGCAGGGACTTTATTGTTCTCACAGTTATTTTAGCAAGGTATAGTCACTTCACTGGCTTACTTCTCATAGCTTTGGGTCAGGGAGCAAAGCACCCTTGTTCTGTAGAAGTCAGCAGGGATCTGGGGCACTTCAGTGACTGGATAACTCACTACACCTGGAGATTTCCCATCCCCGACACACACTGCAATCAAGGGCAACAAGCACTGCTGGAAAAGTCAGCATTAACAGTGTGCCAAAGGGGGCCACTCCAGCCAAAATGCCTCAAAGGATGGCTCATGCAAAGACACTCCTGATGGCATCTCTCCAGACCAGGACAGAAGCCAAGATGAAGCCTGGAAAGTCTCAAGGCATGTGTGCTTGATTGAAATAGATTTAAAATGAAACATTTAGAACTTCTAAGATTTCCAACATATAAAGCATCATTCTCATTCAATTTTTTCTCCAATTTTTATTTTGTGCTCTTTCCCCTCTTGGAGGTACTTTCATTACTATGGGAACAGTGATACTAGTGATGTGGGTGAAGTTGAGTGAGATCCCCACCAGTGATTTGAAACTGATTTTACAAAATGGAGTGAGGGGGGAAATAGGTATTGTTTCAATTGGACATATACTTAAGTGTAAGATAAATGATTACTAAGTCAATACAGATAGTGTGGCAGCAGAGTAGTGCTTACAATATACCTTAGATGGAAGATTACATTCAAAGACGCACCACTTCACCTTCAGGCTGCAACACTATCATGCTACAATTGCACCCTATCAGGAGTTAGGTCCACTCCAGAGTTTTCTAGCTGTCCTGTGGTGTATTTAATATTATAATATTGAAAAATTCTCAGTAAATGGGTAGACTTTTGCTTCTTTTAATTAGCATTCCAACAATTGTTTTGAGGGTTGGGGTGGGAGGGGGATTGATGAGGGTCCAGAATACCATTGTCCTCTCAGAGCAGGGTTTTCTGGACACTTTTATTATGCAGCCACAGAAATTACTCCATATAACTGAAGTCACAGCATGTGGTAATTTTCAGTATAAACTTGCTTTTAGCCTCTCTTAAGTTGATGGGGAAGAAAAGAAAAAGATAATAGGTTTTGCTATTTTCCAAGATATTCAATGCTTTAAAATTTCCTAATTTCTGAATGTCACAATACCAAAACAGGGAAAGTATTGCTTTGCTGTTAGAAGGACAAAGCATTCCTCGGTTTCTTGAAAACAGCCTTTTTGTGCAAGTTTAATCAGGGAGCAGATAAATGATCATTTGTTGAACAACAGCCAAAACAAAGGCCGGTGTCCAAGACATAGGCCCACAAAATGCAAAACATCAGAAGATTGGCAGGAAAACCCCAGACCAAAGAACTCATGCTGAGACCACAGCCTTGAGGAAAACCCAGCAGGAACTTCTGGGCTAACTGCTGACCAGGAAAGAAGAAGCATGAATAGACACAGCCCAGTTTGAATGTATCTTTAAAGGAAACCAATCTCTACACATTTTTTGTCAACAGGCGGAACAGACAGACTGCCAATGTGACATGAGCTGCTTTGCCTAAAAATAACCACATGTAAACCATATGGGTCCAAAAACAGTCACAAAACCAGCACACACGAAACATGCAAATCCTGGCCTAGCAGAAGACCAAGAGAAGGAAGCAATAAACACAGGCAAGGAGAGGTAGCAAACTGCTTCTTTTCTGTCTCCTGCAGGCACATGGAAGAAAGATCAAGCAATCTGCAATAGCCATGCAATGTGTCAGACCTGCTGTTTACTGAGTGATGAATGCTTCAGAGCTTGCTCACAGACAACTAGAGAGGATAAAGCCATCTGCTGTGAAACAGAGCACACAGCACTTGCTCGCACTTGCCCCAGCTTGGTCCTGAAAAAATTATATCATGTTCTCGGGAAGCTTAAGTTTCTGAGGTTCTCTGTACTCAAGTCAGCCCTGCATGATTAAATGCATTGATGCTACACATTTTACTTCTGCCATAAATCACCTTGGCTAAAGAAAAGGATATTCCCCCACTCCAAAATAAATCACAATATGTGGCATTTTTTAATCCTGCTCCAGCTTTAACTCCATAAGATGGTTGTTCTGACTTTTTTCTGTTCTTCCAGTTATGCCTTCAGACAGTCAAGTGAGCAGGAAGGTGCAGTAGGCAAACTAATCTCTACTGGTTTGTCAGTAAAAAGAAAAGGAAGTGGAAAAAGAAGATAAGGGGTGATCTCAAAACTCCCTGTGCATGCACCTCTGCCAGTACTCACTGCAGAGCTGCTTAAAAAGCCAACAAAGAAAAATTCCATCTTTTGGGACCTTCGAGAGTTTAAACACTGTTTATTGAAGCTCCATCTCTGCAATTAAGCCTGGATTTGCTTGATTCCAAATTAGATGGTATTTCATTAATGAAACACATTATGTTTCTCAGAGTTAATGAGCTAAAATGGTAGAAGAAAAAATTAAAAAGCCTGATCTCACAACTGGGAAAAGGGATGAAGCACAGTACATGGAAAACTACCAACCTATAAAGCTGAAAAGCATTTCAGTTTACCAGCTTCATACGGGAGACTGTTTTATTCCCTGTAATAATCTCAGTCACCACATTCCAGCACAGTTTTCAAGTCAGCTATTCAGGCTTCAGAGGAATTTTCTGTTGTGTTAGAGCATTTTTTTTTAAGAGAAAGCATTTATTTCTCAAGTTAAACATTTGCAGGGCTTTCCCATGGGATAGCTTCTGAAATTACCTGCATTTTTTTCACTTTATAAGAAACCTGGTATTTCCATCTGTACAAAATGCATGGAGCATAGCTGACACTTCTGACAGCAAGCTCCTAGAAGACTTTGACGTAGCAAACAACATGTGGGCTGCGCCTCTGGTAAGAGGATGTGCTGGGGAAAGCGATCTGAGAAACATTGCAGATCTCCATTTTCCTTGTAAAGTCTTCTGCCCACATCCTTTTGAGTGTTCTGCATAAAGGAGTACATCATCCCTCCTTTGAAATTATCTTAGAAGGAAGAATTACCTTATTTCCATTTTTCCTCATATTGCACATGCTTCTGCCAGAAGTATAAAGTAATAAAGAGGGGGTGTTGGCATTTTTAACACCAAAAAAGTAATGTAAAAAAAATTTGTTACCGTTGCCTAAACCTTTGGATGAGCCCTGTTCGAAGTTTTCAATCTTTCTTTGGTATGCATGAAAGCTCCTGAGCAACCCAGAAGCACTAGATGGCCCTCACCAGCCATACTCCTGAGATCACCAGTGCCGTCCCAGCCTACACCACTTCTGTGCCAAGAGAATGTGCTGGCACTGCTCACAGCAGGGGCTTTCCCAGGGAAAATTACTTTCCTGTAGTGCAACTGTTACAGGAGAGATAAAACCTACCTTTGCCAACTCCAGCACATCCATGACTATCAAAGCCTGATTCCCAACCAGAGCATCTGAAGGTGGAGTGGATCACTAGCTCTCTTCTCATTGCTCACTCTTGAATCCTCCAACAGTTTCACACAGTATGGACTCAAGTCACCCCCTTCTAATGCTTCCACTACAGATCAAACCATCTGTCTCAGGATAACTCTTTTCAAAAGTTCCACTCTCACTTTCCAGTTTCATGTTCTTAGAAACAGCAGGTTTAGATCAGTTTGGGCACAAAGAGAAAAAGGAAGAATGAAAAAGGAGCACAAAAGCAGCCAGGGCTTTTGTTTGAAGCCAAATAAACTTTGTCCCAGTATAGAGGGTAGGACAAGATGGCTCATCTGTAACAGCCCCAGCAGGAAAAGACTGGTGTGTCTGGTGGTCAAGAGAGGCTTCAGATGCTGTACAGGAGCTTCTGATTTAGCGTTAGCACCTTGCAAACTCTGGTGCTCACTTCTGGCAAACAGAGCCAGCCAGGGCCTGAGGAAGTGGGAGGATGCTCCTGACAGCCTGTGTTTTTGGCATCTGATGCCAAGGCTCAAGATGCCTGGATAAGGTTTGCTCCTTAACTGTTATAGAGTTCCTCCATTTCCACATAGAGCCCTAACATTGAAGAGATGTTCATCTTGGATAAGCACTGGACAAGAAGGCCACATCACAAACACCATGGCAAATACCACATCAAGACAACAGACTCAAGGATCATCAGTAGTTTTATCACCTCTTTGCTTTGCTTAAAAGTATTTGGCTTTGTACAATACTCAGGTGTGTTAGGTATTTTCTGTGTCAGATTTTTTCTTTGTTACTTATCCTGTAATCTGTCTGGGAATTGCTAACAGTTTCATGTAGGATATTTTGCACTGCAGTCATGAGATTTAACTGTGTAGAGCTTCCTCAAACCTCTGTTCTCTGAGCTGTGATTCCATACATGAAAGATAAAAGGGAACATGACTCCTTTCCATTTTCTCCCATCTTTGTATCCCTGCTCTCTGTTATTTAGTGCCTAGAGGCTGATACATACAAACACACACATAAACATACACACACACACACACACACACATATATATATATATATATATACACGCAAAAACACAGCACAGCTCCATACTGGAGCCTTGCAGGCTCTGAATGCTTCCTGTACCACAAATCACTCTAAGCCTTACAATGGTGAGATCTCACCAGAGCCTGTTAATGAACAAAGGGAAAAAACAGGTATAACTGACCTGCTGGGTTCTTTTCCTCAGGTTTGGGGTGCATGAGACGAAATGGCAGCTCTGTGCCCACTTCACTTTAGGGAGAAGAGAGAATGCATCAGATCCACAGCTCCACACACATGCCTGGTTCAGCCTCCTTCCTCCCGAGGCCTCAGCTCCATCTTCACCCATTCCTTCATATTTTTCTAATCATAATTTTCCTCTCAAAAAAAGTTAAGCTCCAATTTCTCCACAAATATCCCAGGCATATCCACTTTCATAGACTGGGTTTATTTTGTGCTGAATGTACTTGCATGCATATAAAAACAAAAGGTATTTTTGTAATAGCTTCATTTTCACAGCAGAACCACAAATTATTTGCTTCTAACAACTTAAGGGACAGTTACTTTTTTAGGGAGGTGGGAATGGCAATAAGAAAGAGAATAAAAAGATGGACTAACAACTAGGACTGCATGGTCTGAAAAGGAAGATTACATTTACCTGGAAGTGAGATCTCCCAGCATACTACAAAAGAAAACAAAGAGAAAAACAAAGAATATTTAATGCCTTTCTATTCTGGTGCTCCAGCAAATGCTTTAATTGGTGGACTACTGAAATCACTTTCCTTATGTACTGTTCTCTACTTGCCACTGTACTTGTTTTTTAAAAAGATAGTCTTACTTTTTCATGTCATTCCCATGGAGAAAGAGTCTAAGTTTTTGAACTCCTGACCAAGTGTTGGGCATGGCCCCTTTTCCAAGGGCCAAAAGGCAAGTGGATGACAACAGAAGGAAGCATTTTACCATGCTTTAGGCAAATCTTTGATGCATTTTTATACTAGAACAAAGGATAGATGAATGAAATACCAATATAAACAGTGACTAGCATCAACTGAGAGTCACTATCCTTTTTTGCACTGTATCCTGGATCTAGCTCATGTTGATAACATCAGCTTTACCCAGAAAGCTAGCTGAGTACAGAACCTGAGCTACAATATTTATGACTCTCAGGCAGACATTTTCACTTTCTGCTCTGAGAGAACAGCAATGCCAACATAATGGTTCACACAGTTTCACCTCACTTCTCACAAAATAGGTGATAGCTTTGAAACAAAAATAGCAATGCAAAGCAGAGGTTCCTACTTCAACCGTAAAGTTATATGGTATCTAAAGGAGAGTAATACAAACAATTTGGCTCAGCACAAGTTCTATGGATAGGCCAAGACTGTTTTTCAGGCAATTTATGCTTTATAGGAAGCCTCATATTCTATAACATGTGCCTTTTCTCTTGGGGTGGACTGTTCTGGTCTCTCCTCACCCATCAATGACAGAAACACATTCCCCTCCCTTAACTCTAGGCAGATGTAGAAAAAGTATGTTACACTTACCCTGGAACAGTGAGCTTCACTTTGATCTTGTAGGAAACCAGAATCCCCATCACTGTCCTGTCTATTCCATCCTTAATGCTGCCAGAGAAAACAGAGCAGTGTGAGCTGGCACAGCTGTATAGCAACAACACACCTGGAGCAAGAACTAGGGGAGCATCCTAAAAGTGGGAGGGCAGGCAAGCCTCAGGTGTAGCCAATACCTCTCCAGATGTGATGAACATGATGGCATTAGTAATAGTGCTATATGTATCCATCCAGGCACAACTTTACACTGAGGGAAGTGCCTCCTCCATCCTCCCCTCTTCTCTATAACTCTCCCACTACCTGGAACAACTTAAAACTCCACTCACATAGTACTAGAAGCCAAGTTGGTGTCCTCATCCTTCAATTTTCCATCCAGAGCTATTTCTCGTGTCTCCCGGTTATTTGCAAGCAAGGGTAAAAGTGTCAGGGTCTTGGTCAGGCTGCTGTTTGGCTGCACCTTTTCCCTGAAAACAAGAAGGGAAGTGATACTCCGTGGCTTGTTACACACCCAACTAGGAGAATTTCAAAACAGATTACAAAGCTGCCCAAAAGGAGAGGAATTTATCTGTGCAAATTCAGCTGTCAACAATGCAGATGTCCACCTCTAATCTAGTCAGCAAAATTCCCTTTATAATCAGCAGAGAAACACATATATTTACAGAAAATGCTTTATTTCACATTAAGGCAGAAAAGTAGGTCAAAAGCACAGAATAATAAAATAGTTTAGGTTGGAAAAGCCCTTTAAGATTATCAAGTCCAACCATTAACCCAACACTGCCAAGGCCACCAGTGAACCATGTCCCCAAGTTCCACATCTATTTTTCCTACTATCCAACCTACACCTCCCCAGGTGCAACTTGAGGCCACATCCTCTGTATTGCAAAGCTCTGAATGTGGACAAAATGAATCCTAGTTGAGAATATCAATACTGAATGGAAAACATGTCCATAAGCTATAGAGCATAACACCAGACATATATAAAGTACCTGGGTATGCCCAAACTTCCTCACCGTGTGAGGTTCAGCTCTGCCAGTACAGTGAAAAAAAGCAAATGTTTTCCCATAACATCTACAGGCTCAAACTTTCTGTGGGCTTTCTCAGGCCAGAAGAAACCAAATTAAATGCTCTTGCTCAAGCAAGAGTCTCCATGACTTCCACTCAAACAGCAGCACCTTTCAGAAACATGTTGCATCTCTATTTAGATTTCCAGCAACTGGGAACCTCCCGCCACCACCACTAAGCTTGTCTAGCACATAATTACTCTTCAAACCTCTTCTGCAACATCTCCACTCCCTGAAAATACATGAGGATCTCTGATGCTCTGTGAAAAGGGGACCAGCTGCATCTAGAGAGAATGAGTGGTGTGGCACACACGAGGCAAGAGGAGACTGCCAGACTGTAATTATGAGAACCTCTCATTACTGATGATGAGGGTAATTAAAAGGGTGTGAAGGAACAGGAGCATTCACTCACCGTGCTTCCTCAGAAGCCACCACTTTGGTATAGAAGTCACTGGAGTACAGCACCACATTGGTCACCTGCTCCACTGAGGGAGAAAGAAGAAAGCGTACACTCAGGTGTGTGCACGTACCACAAACAGAACAGTTGCCCCCACCACAAGTCCCAGGAATGGGAAACATGGTGAAGACAGCAGAAAATCCCATCCATTTACAGCCTGAAGGGACCACCAGGTCAGATAGCCTGATCTGAATAGAGACCAACAGCACACCAATGGCCAAAGTCTGTCTTTCCTGAAAGGCACCTGGCCTTGATTTGGAGACAAGAGAAAGTCAATCACCCAGTTTCTCTTGTGATCCTCTCTTTCCATTATAAAGATGTCCCTCTTCCTTCTCTCTTTGGGTCTGCTTTTCTCTGGTCCTGGTATCTCTTGTGTGCCTACAGCCCATACATATACATTCAGGAGACAGCATCAGCACAAAGCCTGTGGTGACAGATGACTTATATTCCAATCCTACACAAAAATCCCAGGGGAATTCTGGGACCAACAAGGTCTTTTTAAGCCTAACATAGGCATAAAAAAAGAGCCTAAAAATATTTGGGAATCACAGTGCATCATCCCAGACTAGCACTGAAATAGCTTTCTCTGTTATAGTTCTGTAGGAACCTCAGCCATTTTTTCCCCTCTCTGCCTTCTTTTCTCTTTCCCATATCCTTTGTCTTGTGGACTGTCTTCCCCAGCTCTGCAGCTTGTGGGATGAAAACATGTAGTGTCATATAAAACACTGGCACAGCAATGAAGCTCAGCTCCTGCCCTCAGCTGGAATTCCTCAGGAGGAGGAATGACACTTTCTGGCAGAGTGGCTGTTTCTTACCCTGCCAGAGATTTCTGGAACACAAGGCAAAGCTGCATGTGATCTAGACACATTCACAGTTAACAGGAGCACCACACTGGCAGGGAGCCCCTCCCACTGACCTCCCAAAAAGGATGGACTTTCCTCCACTTTTCCCACACCTGCATTGCCCACTGCAGGAGCCAGACCCTTTTTCTTTTTCTAGGGGGGACAATCTGGTGCCTGAAATAAAGACATACAAGTAACCACAAGAATCAGGAAAAAAGCTACAGCACTTCACTTGATGAACAGCAAAGAAACACCAACACACAGAAAGGGAAAAATTCACGATATCCCAAACTGCCTTCTTAAACTGTTGCAAGCACTAAATTCTGTCTCTCTTTCAGCCCTATTGCACTCAAAGAATCCCAAGCAACAGTAAAAATATACCCTGGACTTTGATCTTCTTCACTGTTTTCTCTGTGCTGTTGTTGATGGTGATAGTGACTGGAATGGGCTCACCATGGTAGTATACCTAGAAGGAATGGGATGCTCAGAAATCCAGCCAAGACACTTCTTCCAAGCCCTAAACCCCTCTAGTTCCCCCAGATTACACCTCACAGAAGCCAGATAGGGGAAGATGATCCCTCCCAGCAATTCATGACCCTTCCTTCAATGACTTCTAATGTGTTTGGTAACAGGGTTTCAGCCACCCCTGGCAGTGGCCAGTGATAGAAATTACATTAGAGCCCCTGAGTACTGGGACAAGTCAATCTCAGCTGAGAAAGCAGCAAAATGCCCATTGGCCTGCAGATACCACAATGCCCCCAGCCCCAGGGCAAACACCCCCTCACCTCTTTACTGAGGCAAGCTTTCAGGTGCAGGGGCTTGTTGGACATGAAGAACTGCCAGGTGGTCTCTGCACAAGGCTGGGGTCCTGGCTCCTCTGGAGCATACTGCACCTTACGGATCAGCAGACGTGCAGAGTTCCTGGGAAGCAGCAGAGGACAGCATGGTGACACCCAGTGTTTGGCAGAGGCAGGAGTTCTGCATTTCCATGTGCTCACACCCAAGAAGTGGGTGCAAAGCTGAACAAACAATCAGGGTGCATCACTGGACCACCCATCCTCTTTAGGGCAAAGCTGGAGAGAGACATATCCTATTACCTCTTATGAATTCTCTCTTCCACATTTTCTGTTGAGAAAGCTTTCACCTCAAAATCCACCCCACAAGTCTGTCAGAGAGAGAGAGAGGAGAGAGAGCTGTGAAATCAGGATCAGAAGACAGGAACATCTGCAGATGTTTCAGTATCTTTCTGCACACCAGAAACTTGGCAGGCACCAGGTGCAATTTACTCTGGCCTCCCACCACTATCACAGACACCCCTGACAACTGGTGTTGGCATATCCACCTGTTCTACAGTGCTTCTGATAAATGAGGCTGAATCCCAGACTCTGAAAGATGACATCCCTGCTCCTGAAAGGCTTCCTCTGAGACCAGTGCTGGAAAGGTCACAACGTATGACTGACCAGTGTGCCATGCTCTCTGGCCCACTCTGGGTTTCTGAACTGAATTTCTGAGCTGGCTTTGTAATGCCAAAACCAGTATGTAAGGAGCGGAAGTGATCATGCCAAGCTAACCTTTGCTTTAATGGGTTTAATAGCATCATGGGGTAGCTGTATGAGTCCCAAGTAATTCTCTACACAGACATTTTTGCTAGAATATCATTCCCTGGCATAAAACACAGATTATCCTTTTTGCACTAGATTCTACAACCTACAGCCCATTTTGCCTGGTTGATTGCCTAGTTCTGCTGTCCAGACAAGCAGCCAGTCAAGTGTAAGAGGAATACTTTTAACAGTATCAGAAACCTTGCAGAACATTTAATTATTTAGTGACTTTTACTACAGGCTTTTTTTTCTGTTTACACATACATACAAGCCAGCTCTTCTCTGCATTTAACTCAGGGCAGATCTTAAGACATGTTATTTATAGCAATCTGTGACATTTTAGGCATTCAGTCTCCTTTTCTTTCATGTAGCCTCATAGCCACAATCATTTTATGTGCAGCCAACCCACAAATCATGTGATAGTCTTAAAGAAGCTACAGCACTGCAGATTTTGTAGTCTTGCTGCTATTTGTTTGGATTCCCTTTCTTACTTTGAGTATTTCAACTCCAATTCTGTGACACATACTTGTAGCCCTTAGTTCTTGACATTTGTGGCACAGCACAGTAAAATCAGTATCAGCTTCTCCTACTCGCAAGCGGAACAAATTCACATGATTTTTTTCCATCTGACTTTCCTTAACCATGATAAGCACAAGTGTCCCACTGGCCTCACCTTATCAACATCACGAGGTGCAGGCTGCAGACAAACTGAGCAAGGGAGGTAATCTGGAAACTGTGAGAGGAAGAAGAAGAAATGCCCCAAAGCAATAGTACACAGATGTTTTAAGTAACATACTGCTCACAAAAGCACTCCTGAAGCCAAGGGGCCACTCACTGTAATGCAGTAACCCTTTGGAACTCTGGCTAGAATACTAGCCTTGTATGAACAAATCCCTCTCTTCCAAAAACACTTTAATAGTCAAGAAAGAAAAAAAGTCCATGCACAACGTAAATCTTCTTCAGGAACACTAAGACAGACGTGACTGACAGCACTGGAAGGATTTCCTGTTAGAATTTGGTAGTCAGCTGTCATTTGCTGACAACATCTGGTAAAGACCTTTTCATCTCCTTATTTGATGGGAGTTTTTAAAGGAAATGGATTGGGCATTGAGGCAATAGTAAAAAGTATTCCACCCCCTCAGGAATGGGAAGGCAAGGATATATAGGGCTGTTGCAAGCATAAAGCCATTGCAAATTCCCTTCCCTTTTTTAAGAAAACACTTCTCACAGTGCTGTGATCACTGCATAGTCAGGATCTTCTTGTACTTTACCTCTGAGGACTGCAAGAATTAAAAAAAATCCAAAACATTGGTAACACCACCCATCACCCAAAATTGGAACTTGCAGAACAAGAATTCACTATTAATTCCCATCTTCAGTCCATCACAAGGCCTCAACAGCCTGGTAAGTACAGACAAGAAGAGAATCAGAGGCTCTTCTGAGATACGTACTGTAAAGAAAAAGGGATAAGCATTTTTCCCCAGCTTCTTTAGCAGAGATTCCTGCAAGAGGGTGAGAGACTCTGGCTTGTCAGCAGGTGGGTACACCTGGACCCTGGAGAAGAACAGGTCCCGGCGGAAGGCGAGGCCAATCACATCAATGTCTTCCTGGCCATAGCGGAACACACAGGTGAGGGACACAAACACTGAGAAGAAGCACAGGACAGGTGAAACATGCAGCAGGATAGCAGTGAAGGCAGGCTGGGATGAGGACATCTCCTGCCTCAGGGAGACATGGAAACTCATTTCAACACTTGCATAACCCAATGAGTACTCATGCCATGCGTAACAACAGGCATTGCATTGATAAGAAGCCCATTCACTGGGGAAGAGTTACATTTGTACCCTTAAAAGAATAAAAAGATTCTAGCTTAGCACCTCACTCAGAAAGACAAACAATTTCTGAGATATACATTGCATAAAACCTCAAACCTTTTTTTCCCTGGACAATAGCAGGATCCACCAATACAACACCATCTGAAAGAAAGGGGAAAAAATCATGATTAACAGAGTAAAAGCAGGGTTGAGAGCAGGAAGAGCAGCACATAACCTTGTCGACTTACCTACAGGTTCCACATTTCCCATGTTGTCAATGAAGTCCCGCTTTCCCAGGTAGATTGTCAGCTGTGGGGAGAGGATGACCACAGTTGAACTAGAAAATGTTTGTGGTTGTTGAGGGAAGGGGGACACACACATCAGAGAACTATAAATCTTGCAGAGATCAGAACAATTCCATTGTAAATGGAATATTTGTTCCTTTTCCAGCAAACGTGCAACCCCACCAGACTCAACAGGATTATTCACATGCTTCAGGACATCAGAACTGAAGATCTGATCTAGACTAGCTCCCAAAGGTACAACATAAATACTTGCATGGGACAAAGAAGTGTAGATTTGAAGATTTTTGGTGCTGTCAAGACAATGAATCAGCTTTATTTTAAACAATTTCCAGAAGAAGTACAACCCAGGATGAGCATGAGGTGAGCTGCCCTCCTCTTGTATTATAACATAGGAAAAGTTTGCCTTAAAAACTGTTTACATCATCTCAAATTCAGTGGGAATATGGCTCACACTCCTTCTTCAGAAAAAAATAAAGGGGACAGGAAATTTCTAATAAGTCTCCAGTCTCACTATAGGTAAAACTCAAACCTAAATAACCCCATTATTACTGTACTCACAGCTTTGTCACGGGTGCTTTTTCTGAAGATAACTTGTTTTGGAGGAGAATCAGCATTCTTCCCACCAATCCCAGTCTTTTGAGACACAGGGCAGCTCATGGTCAAAGACAGGGATGTGACTGTGGGTGAACGAAGCCTTTCTGTCCCAAAATGTCCTGCCCCAGATGCCTGGGAAAAATAGGTGGATGAGACAAAAGTCGTAGGTAAAACACTGTACTCCTATGCTGTTTCAGAACCCCTCACACATCCAAATGGTGGCTCTGTCTAAAAGGTACAAAGGTGGTTTGTGTTGATAAGGAGTCAGAACAATCCCCAAATGAGAACTCATCTGTCCTGTTGCATTTTCCTCAACCAGAACCCAGTGCAACCATCATGGGAAAAGTAACACTGAGCTCAAATCAGAATGCACTGTAAGGATACAACAGTCCAGCCACCTGCCCAGAAAGGCAACAATGATATTTGGAGGTAGGGAACAGCTTGCACCTGAAGGGTAGAAAGCATCTGGAATAAAAACTCTTCAGGAGGAGAAAAATAAGGAGGGAGAGAAAAGGTGGGTGGGAATTCGGCAGGAGGAGAGAGAGAAAATGGGGGGAAAAGAGAAGCAGTGAAAAAAAAGAAGAGAAGAAGATAAAGGGGAGACCACAAGGGCACAAGAGATATCCCAGAGAGAAGTTCAGAAAACCTAAGTGGTACAAAGCAGAGATTAGCTTTTCATTTTGTTGTATGTCATAAAATGGCACCCAGTTAATGATCAGACAGCAAATTTAAAGTAAGGTAAAGCATTTTTCCAGTTAACAGAAGATTCAAGGTGGCTCTGGAAATCACCAATAGGAAATGAATCACAGGATTAGATACATTCACAGGGAAAAAGGCTTTTGGCAGCTCTTGGACAAGGATCCAGGAGCAACCTTAACCCTGTAAGATTCTGAAGCAGAGGAGCAGCATCAGGAGAGGATTACACCACACATACTTCTCACCATCAAAGTATATCATCATCCTTACACTTCTCACCATCAAAGCTGTGCGAATGAGAACACTGTATTAGACAAACCCCAGCTCTGATGGAGTATGACTGCCCCTGCAGTTTGCTCCCATTCTATTTCTTTGCTTGCTTTTTGAATAAAACAGTTTCTAGGGCCTATTTGCAGACAACAAACCACAGAAAAAGGAAACACCTGGCTTCTTGGAAAACTGAAAAAAATGTAAGGCAGACATTAGAAACAGACCACACACATGTAAGCATCTCTGTTTTCATTAAATAGGTTTTTCAAATCCAGACCAATATTTGCTGCTGACTAGACATGACACTCATGCTCTAGACTCAAAGAAACACACCAGCAAATAACATGAAATACCTTGCTGTGTTCCAAATGGCACAGGAGCTTCCACGGACAGTGATGAGAACTTCTGAATTATTGAAGAAATATTAATTTTCCAAGCTGCGTCCTATGCTTCTTTGCATCTAGAGGAAATTACTGCCCTCTTCACAAACAAGGAAGACAATTTGTAGGGGATTTGAAAGCTCATCTCTAGCTGAATCTATCCAGGATTTCAATAATTAATCCCTCTCCATGAGCAAATATTGTACCTGGGCAAAGATTCAGCTGGGAAGTGGTTAAGTCAGCAACAACAAGGCATTACCTAAGGACACTCAGGTAGGCAGCAAAGATGTCTAGAATGTCCTATTCACATGTTTTGCAAAGACTACAGACATGTAGCACAGGACAGCTACTGAAAGCAGTTTATTCTAAAGCTCTATCTCCTCCTTCCCAGGGCTGCAAGACACCCAGCCTGGTAAGAAACTGAACAGACAAGAGCTATTTATGAAAAAGGGAGTTTATAAAACACTAAAATGCCATTTTGATGGACTGTCAAACACTGAGAACAATGCTGAACTATTCTCATGATCACTAAGTAATTTATCTATTACTATTCACCAGCATCCAATGACATGCTGATGCAAAACAATACATTGCTGGCTTATACAATCCCCTCCTCAATTTACTTACAAAAGCACAACATCTGGGATTTAAGAAACACAGATATTTTAATTAACTTTAGTTTTCTGGTCCTTAATCTTCCAAGAGTAGCTTTTCCCTCACCAGTGAATTTGGCCCTGGTATTCTGCACAACAGTACATGTTAACTTTTGGCTTGTGAGCTGTAGGAACAGCTGTAGCTTTCTTCTGGCTGCATCTGTTCATTTGATTATGAGGATCACATGATATCCTGTCCACTTGCCAGCCTAACAACTCCCTCCAGCTCAAGCAACCTTGCAGTCACAGATCAAGTTTGCTTTCCAAAATCACTGACATTTGCCTGAATATAGTGGCCTGGGCTACACAAATTACTCAAAAAAATTGAATGACATAACCAATGTTCCTCAGCCTTTTCAGGTTTCCAGCAACATTTTATTAACTGGAGGTGGATTATTTGGAGAAGTTAATTACTACTCTGTCTAATCAGTTCTGGCAAACACAAACCAGCCAGGCTGGAACCACAGAAATTCACATGTGCCTGTGCTGCAGAAGGAGTCAGGCCTTTATTGTAGGAAGGAAGAAACCCCAGAGATGTTCTACTCAGTCACACTTTGCAAAAACACAAGGGAGGAAGCTGGTTTTGTACAAGTTTGTGCTGCAGCCACTGCAGGGTTATTAGTTCTCCAGGGGAGGATGAGCATTTCTGTTGGTACATGTACCATTGCAAACATCTTCAGGGGATCTTGGAAACAGCTTCTCTGTAACACGTGTTCCTGGTGCACCTTTAATCCAGAGAAAGATGCCCAACCCACCCCCAAATCCACTTGAAGGGCAACTCCACCTCTGGCAGCAGAACTGCTACAGCCACCTCTGCACTGCAAGTACCTTCATTTGCTCTTCTTCCCTCTGCAGGCTGAAGCAGAAAAGGAGGCAATAAAAGTAATCAAAATTTGGGAAAAAAAGAAAAGCTAGAATTGGTCACTAGAATTTCTTACATACCTTGGTGCTAAGGAACTTCCATCTAAAATGCTTAAGGACTGAGCTAGCTGGCCATTATCCTCCAGCATTATTAACCTTCTTCATAACAGCATCAATGAGCCTAATAAATCCCTTTGGGTAAGATCTGTGTCCACCCTGTAGAAAACCACAAGTGTAGCAGTCTAAATTATAAACATCCTAAACCCATTCTGATCCTCCTCAGCAGAACCTGCAGTTTTTATTATGCTAATCTCCCAATTATCTTTCATCATGCTGACTTGCTACTTCATGATCTGCTTTCCTGCAGTAACCAAGGTCACCTGGATTTGTGGCAGGTGCCTTTTCAAGGACCATCTGCCACTGCAACAGGCAGAAGAAAAAAATATCTTGCCTTTAGAAAATATTCAGAATGCCAACTTTTCATTTTTGCTACAGTTCTCACTTCCATGAGCTGGATAAAAGCTTATTTTCTTATGAAAAAGGAGGGTAGCCAGTGATGGTTATTAGTTATGAAATTTGTACACTGAAAAGCTGAAGACTTTGCTTCATTACTCTGAAGCTGGAACCAGAGTAACCTCTTCAACAGGGTTTTTGTGTTTTTAAAGAAACATGCAACTCCTATTCCCATCTTAAAAACTTGACAAGGTAGCAGTCAGCCTCACAGCAGAAAAAGTTGCCTATTTTCAGCAGTGTTTGAAATACAGATCCTGGTTTCCTAAGTTCAGTAGTTTGTCTAAAACATCCAACAATACATCAGCCTTTCAAGGACACAGAGGCACTTGTTCAACGAGGAAAGACTTCCTTCTGTCTCAAGGCAGGACTACTGAGACAGGGCAAGCCCAGGCTGCACCTGCAGGACATCCAGCCCCAAACTAAGAGAATTATCATTTTTCCCCCTCTACACCAAATCCCACAATTCATTCCAAAAATATTTCAGGTCCCCCTCTGCACTCATTCCAAACAAGATCTCACACACAGATGCACAAATAAATAAATCAGAGCAGTGTGGGGTTTTAAAAGCAGAACACAGGTTTATTTACAATCAAGTTCTTATGGGCAGCTGAATAAATAACAACTTTGCCCCATATACTCTAATTCCCCTCTGCAGGAAGTGTCTGAATGAAAGGCTGGGTTAGAGGGAGCCTGTCAGAGCAGCTCCCCCAACCCAGCCCCTCCAAAGAACACACTTCCATAGTAAAACGCTATTGGGAAAGAAGAAAATAAAGTGCAAATAAAAAAGGCAATAAAACGCTGGTGGCTTGTCTTGAGGCCCAGATGATGTGGAAAGGTTTGGCTGGATAAAGATATGCCAGGTAGCTCACACTCAGTCACATCATGGTTTGGGGTGCCAGAGCAGACACAGAGCTAAGACACCGCTCCGTACCACAGAGGGGTTCCAGCGCAAATGGGAATATTGCACGTGTGCTCAAGAACAGGGCAAGTGGCCTGGAATTGCCAGCACCAAAACAATGGATTTGGGATTTGATGCCACTGCTCCCCTGTGTACTGACAGCCGCCAGGACAGGACGGATGAACAGAAAAAGGGACCAAACATCTGTACTCCAGGACTGAAGTCACAGGATTACTACATTCCTCATCACTGCAGCACAACTTTTACAACCTCAACAAGCTCAGGTCTCTCCTCACACCCAATAACCAAACTGTGGTATAAAAAGATTAAAAATCTCCTATTTTGTGATGCCCAAGTTGTTAAAAGGCATTTCAACACAAGGGTGCAGAAGTCCTGAATAACAGACCGTTGTCTCAAGAACTGATAAACAGAGTACAAATGACAGTGCTGGAGAGCCTGTGCCAGGATCAGAACAGATCCAAACTGAGTTGATGACTCAAAGACAGAGCTGTCAGAGCCATGGAGACTCTTTTTAAAAGCTGTTCCAACACTTCAAACTGCCTATGATGTGTCTCAGGATCTTCTCACCCGGTGCCTGAACTAGGCCACCAGAACAGAACACAGGAGACAGGACATGCTTTAAGTCTGCATACACAATGACTTCTTTCCACCTCAGAAGTGCTGTAGATACATTTGTGTGACAGGATATTTGGCACAGCTGTCTGGTGAGGAATCCCGCTAGTATCATCAGCTCCACGTGGTGCATAGATACTGCAAGTAAAGGCATGACTA